GTCACCCTGGGTAAACTCATGAACCTTAATGATTTCAAAGGCAAAGCTCACATCGGCAAACATGATTTAGTCGTCTAACTGGCCGGGTCTTTAGTTCGTCTGTCGGAAACAGGCACATTCTTTTATCACTCGGCACCTTGCTTTGTACTCCAAAGCGTGTTACGTCTCAGTTCATGTTTTGCTTTTAGATTGTGAAACATGAGATGATAAACGGTCGTTTAGAATAAGGCCTTAGTTTGACCGACTGTATGGATCCATGTCTGAAACCACCATCAGAGAGAGGAACGTGTGTGGATACGTCAACTTAAATTCTAATGAAAAAAAATCATTCACGTACATAACGAATGGAGGTTTTTGCAGCGTTGTTGGCCTTACGATTGGCAATCAAGTAGTTAATCGGTACATATTAAGCATATATAAGCATATATGAGCATATAATTAGCTATTTTATTGTCAACCATCGCTTTTTCACAAACAACTATCACGAATATTTATGTTGTGCTGTGATTAATGACTAAGCTATATTTTATTCGTCGAAATCGCTCAGCGATCAGAATAATATTTGTACTTCGTTAAGCATCTGGACGTTATTCCTTGGGCTGCTTTTACTCTCGAAACAGTATAAAAGGCATTTTGTAAATACCTTAAAAGTGACAGTTGTGTTGTTAATCGGTCTGTTTTGATATGTTTCTGCTCTTCAAGCATAATCTGCTTTTTAGGTAAAAGTGCATATACTAAGACGAATGTGCGTGTCAAAATATCTAATCCGCATAAAATGCCTTACTAAAAGGTTAAAGGTTATACGGGCCAGTCTGAGACAGCAGTGATATCAGAATTTTTGAAGCATTTTTTCCCCGGTATGAATTGAAAACAAGCATGCACAGCAGAATTTATTTGGGCCAATAAATTTCGTGACGGCTTTTCAACTGCAACCCGTCTCTTCATAACATAGGTTACGAATAAAAGCGCACAGCAGTATGAATTTGTACAGAATGGCAGTGCATAGGAGCAAGGTCAAAGTTCAAAATAGTCAATAATCAGATAAGACGTCCAGATAAGCATAAAAAAGGAAAATAAGAGAGACGAAATGTTAACAACTATCACAGTCAGGGGAAAATACAGGCGTAAGATTACTAGGGCAATTGCAGATTGATCATTTAGTCCCATATCTACCATATAGGCGAGATCAACTGAAATAAACAAGTGAGATTAGAAGTCTTTCTTGGATTATTAGTAAAAGGGCGGAAATTGGCTAAAAGAGGAAAACGATTTGGAAAAAGAGACATTAACTTAAGATTATTGTAAAGGTAGCACGATTATACCAAACGCCACTCAAATACAGATGCTTAGAAATGCTGTGTCGCCGTATTGCAATCCATTGCAGCAGGCTGGGCGTGTAAGAAACAAAACGCCACGGTTTGATGCGGTTTTTTTAGAAAATCGAGGAAGTTTTAAGGCGAAAAAATACTTGCCTTAAACAAGATATTAATGGTCCTTGTGTACTGGTGTATTTTTCGTCAAATAAACAAAACAATTATAGCAATTTTCTGCTTAGCGATTATTTCGTGTTTCATTTTGATCTCGTTCTCCATGAAATATATTGCCATCCCTGAATGTATAACTTATCAAAGGGAGAAATTCAGAAGCCATTTAAGTTGCTCTTTCGTCTTGCAAGTGATAAAATCTGACTCATGCATGAAACAGTATCCTGGCAATTGTGGTATATTATATTAATATAACAACCCACCCCACGTATTTCTTTCCATCTAAAAGCACACTCGTGAAGTACGGTTACAATTTTATAACATAGGTCAGCTAAATTATGCATTTTCAAGTCGTTTTTACTTATTGTGCGACATTTTAACACGTGTTTGCAGTACTGATTTATTTCGCATCAAGCTTTGCCTAAATCAGCCATGGGTAAAAGGAAGCGCGATGCACGATTAAGTTTTGTTGTCCTAGAAGCACGCATCCATCTTCGAACCGCGCATGCAATGACGCTATCTGTCAGACAAACTAAGCAAAAACTGTCACTCAGCTTAGTATTTTTGAAAAGGATGCATCGTTTCATGCTTAAGCGTCTGATGCTGTATTCTGAAAGGTTTTGTCCCTTAAATATTGTTTCATGTATAATATTAACTTCCACTTAAAGACAATTTTCATCCGCATAAAGAACTCAGATAATGTCCTTTTGAAAGCGAAAACAAACGCATACATGTTTATAAAAAATGTTTGTATGCTTCTGCAAACCCCATGCTAAAACGCAATTGTTCATTTGCAAGTATTTTCCGAATAGGTCTAGTAAGATGCAGTGCCGTTCGTGCTATTTGAAATACGTCACTATGAAACTTTGATGCGCTTATCCCATCTTCCGTAGGAGTTTAATTTCTGTGTGAGCTGTTTGTTCATTTTTTATCAATAACGCGGCTCTGCTTGATAGAAGCCCTTGTTCTTACATTTTGTTTAGTTTTTGCTTAATGTTCGCTATTTCGAGTTACGGATACAAGTTTACCTTATGCTTATATTGCAAAATATAGGGATTTTATGAGTTTTAACGATACTTTGTTTAGTTTTTCTATAGGCGTTAGTCTTTGCTTGATTCTGCTGCTCGGCTGCAATGATTACAAAATGACAATATGTGTTCAAGCAAGGGGTAAACATATTGAAACCGTATAAAAAATCTGGCTTTTTATTATTTAGCTACTCTTCCAATACCGAAATCATCAAGCGTCCAAGACAATTGGCATGCGTCCCTAAATGGCCGGGCATAATTAATTAAGTCTGTGGCCAAAATTTTATGGGATAGTAAACCTGCTTTTTGTGCGTAAGTTCCAACGCATATTCATGTAAGGAACAAAAACCTATGATTCTGGTCAGATTTCAAATAAAGTGAAAATTGTTAAAGTGGTTGATAATTAGCAAGATGCGCAGTGGACAAATAACACTTTTGATTTCTGAAAAAAGCAACTATATTCAACTGCTGATAATTTGCGCAACAATGTTCAGCCACCGTTTTGCAGTGACATTTCAACTCGGTGGAGCAATTCGCTGACCGAATTCTGAATGACACCGTCCATCCCCTTCATAATGAGTTAATGGCTGCGAAATCCTTACGCCCCACGCGTCGATGCTTCCGCCACATCCCTTGCCGCACTTCGGCCTATCGGAATTCCATACTGCCATTTCTAGCCCGGTATCTCACCTGCAAAGATGTTGAAAAACAAAAACTAAAACTCGATCTTGCACATTAAAGTCCTTTTTTCTTCATATATAATCATGTCAACCTGTCTGTCCAAAAACCTGTTAATCTCTATGGTAATCACTGTGTACTGGAGAACCGTTTTTGCTGAAAGTTTTGAAAGTTATTTTCAAAATAAAGCAGTCCTCTCTCTCTCTATATATGAATCAAGGTTGGTAAAGCTTCAGCCGATACAATCTGAGTGTAAAGATCGTTACAGCCGCCGGATACACCCACTTGTTAACCTTGAGCTGGTCTTCTCGTTTGCGTTGAATTATTTATGTCAGTCCTGTAAATGCAAGCCCAACAGAACGCAGCACCCCTTCAGATGGCGTTGTGGTATACGAAAAATGATCTTTATTTACCGCGCTGATATCGCTTAACTTCATGTGCCATAGGTCGTCGGCTTCATGTACGACAAAGGAGATGAATAAATCTGAAGATAAACGAATACAAAATAACAATTATACAAACAATTTAGGATAGCAAATGTCCAATTTTCCTATAAGTCATACAAAAAATTCACGTAAAAGACAAAGGTGAGATAATTGCATTTTGCTATCGATTAGTCATTTACAGCCGGCCTCTAACCGACTGTCATTGATCGTTATTAAATTTCAAATTTACCATCAGTTCGTGAGTTTACTGCTAATTATCATGAATGACAGCAGTAGGGCAATGGGTCATGGCCCAATGTTAAGCTTTTGGACTTCAAAACGCTTGAGGTTTGACCAAAATTTAACGACAACGGCGTATAAGTCAGCAAGCGCCATTTTAAACTCCTCCTCGTGCATTTCTTCTCTCCTTCGCATTTAAATGGGTATATATCAAACGGTAGACGAATATGGATTGATATAAAGCAAACACCGTTATAATCGAACTCTATTGCATCACACATAGCAATGAGAATTTTTGAGAACTTTCAGGAGACTGTTTAACTGCCGTTTCTGACGATTGCCACCGTACGCATTACAGCATGTTGATGCAGCCACGTTGAGTTGCGAATGAACAATTGCTCTGCTTCTACCCACCTTCTCCTTCTTCCGCACCTGGAATCGGTGGTAGAGGACGTAGGTGGATGACACAATCGAGCGTGTACCCTGGCTTTGCACTCCATACCCTCTAGTCCATACAGCGAATTGCCAGAATTTTAATCAGCAACAAAATTGTGGCTAGCGTGGCCGTAGTCGCAGCCATGTGTGCTATCTATCACAGATCGCATCTCACGAAGTAGAAGTGTCATAAAGGCCAAATTAAGAAGGAGAAATTGCAGCCTGAATATCAGACTACCAGCTCGCCACTTCAAACAAACACTCAACTTTGAGTTGACTGCAATGTCCAAGTTATCCCGTCAGTTTGCAACCTTCCAATCCATAGATTTTAGCGCAGCGTGATAGCTTAATGCTTCAGATTGTTTATAGTGAGAAAAATGCCCTGAGTCGTGGACATTTCGTAGACCCCATTAACTGACTGAGACGGCAAATGTTCTGAACGAGTAACTTAATCAGAATGAATCGACCTCCCCAGGCCCTGATGCAATTCCCGCCAAGCTGCTGGAAAAGATACCTCCCGAAATGTCCAAGCCATTATTCTTGATCTTCCAACAATCATTTCTTGCGGGATGCCTGCCCTCTGATTGCAAGTCCGCTACCATCACTCCGCGTTTTAATTGCGGAGGTCGTGCGTCTGGAATAATAACAGGTCAGTGAGTCTTACTTCCATCTGTTGCAAAATCATGCAGAAGATCATTTAGAAGGCCTTGATGCAGTTCCTTGAGCAGCATCACCTACTCTGTGATGCGCAACACGGCTTTCGAAGTGGTATGTCCTGCCTCACGAATATGCACTTTACGCTCGAACGCCAGACCAAACCACCCGATGAAGGTTGTGTGGTGCACGCCATCTACATCGATTTCAAAAAGGCCTTCGACAGCGTTCCCCAGCAACGTCTCTTGCACAAACTGCACAACGCTGGAATTGGTGGACGCCTTCTTGTATGTATCCAGAGCTGTTTGGCTGGACTGTCCGAAAGCGTGCAGGTTGTGCATCGACATTCCTCAGAGGTAAGCGTGGTGATTGGCGTCCCACAGGGCTCAGTCCTAGGTCCCACGTTATTCATCGTTTTCATAAATGCCTGCGTCATGGACTTAGACAGTGATACCATCCTGTTTGCCGATGACATTAAATTGGGGAAAGTTATTCACAATGCGGCAGACGCAGACCACCTGCAAGCAAACCTGAACAGGCTTGAACACTGGTCGAAGCGCTGGCTGATGCCCTTCAGTATAAGCAAGTGTAACTTTCTTTAACTAGGCTGCTGCAGAGCCTCCAGCCCCAGAATTCACTTCCTAGAGGTCGCAACACTGCAACAGGTTGACAGTCAGAAGGACTTGGGTGTATGGATTACATCTTCACTCAAACCAACACTGCACTGCGCGAAAGCGGCTAACTCGGCTATGGCTACACTGCAACTCATTAAGCGAGCATTTATGGGATTTGACCCTGACTGCTTTTCCAAAATATTTGTCACCTTTGTGCGACCTCATCTAGAATACGCCATACAGGCCTGGAGACCTTGGACTGCCAAGGACTATACCGTTTTGGAGTAGGTCCAGAGACGGGCGACCAAAATGGTCTGGGGGCGCTGACTTACGAATCTCGACTGTCAACTCACAACCTGCTTTCACTTTCCATAGGAAATTACGTGGTGACCTTATACTTGCATTTCGCCTTATTAACGTCCTATGATGTTGTTTAGATCCCACTGATTATTTCACACAAGCTAACACGCCCAATTTGCGCAGTCATCTCCTAAAACTACGCGCCGGGAAAGCAAGGATCAATGAAAGAGAGTTCTTTTTCAGTCACAGAGTGGTTGCAGCGTGGAATGCCCTGCCCACCGATGTAGCAACCTCTTCCTGTGTGAAGTCTTTTAAGTTTAGACTTGACGCGCATCAAGCCTCCTTAGTTATTAGCCTTACATCCCCTCACATAACCTGGCACAAACGTAAACGTTTTATACTACTTGTAACTAGCTAGTAACCGTTATTTATTATTCTTTTCGTACTAGCTGTCAATGATTATGTGCATAACCCCTTTTTTTCGCCTTCCCACTATCAGTGTTTTTCTCTAACGACTTGTACCCAATAGGGAGTTCAAGGGCACTAGCCTATATTTCCCTTTATAATCTGAAACTGAAAAAAGATAAAAAATATCTTAAAATTAACTGTAATGCAGGCTGCTATGAATTGCCCAGTTCTTAATCACTGCCATTATATCTACAACGCGCCATTGACCATGATAAATTAAACTTTTGTATCGGTTGATATGCATATGCTTATATATATAATTAAAAATTATGGGTAATAAAGTGAACAAATAAGTTGCCTTCCACATTTTGTAATATCAGAGTCGACTCTGCAAGCGCCACTCATTTCAGTTTTATTATTTATTTTAAAACGTTTCATCTGGACTGCCATTTCGCAATACAGACCAACACCCGAAGGGGCGTCGAGATTGAAGGACAGCCCATAGCGTTGACATGACGTTGATTTCAGCGTCTGTAAAAATCTGCTTGTTTCTTTCATTTTCTTCACAGTTAGGGTTGTATAAATTTGATCTAAGGGATAAATATTGTTGATTTGCGAACACAATTTGCTCCACGAATTTGCTTTTTGTATGAACCATTGTAAAGTTTGCATGAATGCGTTTGGCTTGCTGGCGCTCAGGCAATTTTCCATAGGCTCGCTTTGACCAAAAGCTGTCCGATGATAACGGTTTAAAAAGGGCCTGCGATGTCAGTACAGAGGCGTAAATATCGACTGTGCAATAATACATGGTAAAGAAACTGTCCTCCTTAGAACAGGTTACATTATCCTTAATAACAAACGTCGCTAAACGACCGGACAATGGAGAAACACATTCGGGTAACAGAACGGGTACTTTAAATTGAAGACGACTCTCTAGAAGTCTTTTGAATATTGTAGTCATCTGCAGTTCCGGATGAGGTCCACACCTTACTCCAACTACGGGAAAAAATAGTACACGACATTACTATCTGGAATTTAATGTTATTCAAAAAATGCAGGTGTCTTCTGTGAGAACACCTTTGTCAAACGTAATATTGGAAAGAGAATGTGCTTTTTTGCAAACTCATATGTATATATGTATCGTCAAACAAACTTTATTTATAATCACGCATTAAACACGTACACATAAGTTAACATTAAAACAGGACAATTAAAAGGAAAAGCGCTTTGTACAACAAAATAAAGATGGCATTTGCTTCCTCCGACAATTTTATATAAGGTGTTTTTATTGGCTAGCGTAAGGACTGAACAAACTAGACCACCACAGACTCATACTAGAAAATGACTATAAATTATTAAGTTCTGCAACTAATTTAATAAATGACAGTAATCATCATAATAATGTGTACTTTTTTGAAAAAGAATTATCATCATATCCCACAAATTTTCATATGCACTGACTTAAGTAACATATTATTTGTAACATTTATTTGCCACAGTGTACATAGAACATTTAAAAGTTGGTATACGATTAGTATACGTCTAAAACCATTAAAATGTTATAGCATGCGATGATAAGGAGGTGCATTACAGACACTTTGAAAGTTACTAATTATGTGAAATAAATATTAATTACTAATAAATATTAATATTATGTGAAATTAATATTATGTGAAATTAATTAATTAAAATTCTTGTTTTTAGTGTGTTTCTGATTGACAACTGAAGTCGTTAAACTGCTTGATATCAAGATATGAACAATACCGATAAATTAATTTGTTTGAAATGACGTCAATATTGGCAACTTCTACAGTATTTTAACTTGTATATACTATATATTACGTTGCAGAGATTACAAAATAGGCATTTGATATATATATATATATAACATATTTCACTCACGTGCGCTGTCTAAACGCTGACTCCATAATTTGCAGCATGTGCAAATCGTTACTATGCATAGTAAGTACAAAATTACGCGCGAACCCATGATTCTGCTGTTAGGTAGATATTCTTTGCAACCTGCGGGTCAATTTCTGTAAGAAGATGTTTGAATGTCAAGCACGTGGATGTTAATAAAGCAGCTGTTTATCTCGCGCCGCCCAAAGAGATCCTTACGAAGTTGGGATAGGTGGCCAATTGGATGAGAGCTTTAAGAGGCAGCCTAAAATATGTGAGCGTAAAATGGCAGTTAACTTAATATATTAATTGCGCAAATTCTTTATTGTTGTCAAGGTCGATGATGCTTAATAATTCTTTCTGAATGGATGGCAATGCACTCAGGCGACAGAGCAGGGTTCCATAAGGCTATTGTTCGCTTTATCAGTTACAGCCGTAATGCCAGACAATCAGCATGGAGAATAAATTCGCGTGGCCTATGCTTATCAACTACGAATCTCAGCATTGTGTGGTACAGCGAGATGTAATGGTAAAATAAGAAATCTGCCAGAAAATCGTCATGCATATTTAAGAAATACTGCGGGTTAAAGCAATCTAGGGGATCTTTCCCCTGTGTGGGTGTTATAGACACTGTTTTTTTCTGCATTTTGTTCGTTTTTTATTTGACAGTGTGTTAGTCACTTCAGTTTAATTCATCGCAACCATTTCTTACTTCTTCAGGGCTTTCAAGATTGTAAAGGAAATCATCGACAGAGTTAATATCAGCATCAGAAGCCAATCAAAAATTAGTGGCGCTTATGCAGTAGTGATCGTCGCGGCTGCTGTTTGCGCCGGCGCTATATCATTGACCTAAGGATTTACTGGATTCTTATTTAATGAAAAGGTTTAAATCAATTTGCATCTTCTCTAGATTCTGCTTTAGGCAATTATCTGCGTGCCCCAAAGTCAAACTTTTAAACCAACTGCGTAGATACGGGTACCCAACTGTGATAATCATTCATAACCCAGCCCAGCTATGATTTTGTACGTGCCATCCGAGGTCTCTGCTAGTCTGATCTGTGTAATTACAAGGACAAGTTAGGTTTAGTGGAATGAAATCCACCCCTGGTTTTCGTGGACATGCAGATCGCAGGAAATCTCAGCCAACGTACAACTTCAATAATTCGTCTTACAATAATGCGCTCAGTCGCCTCTGACACAGTCTTGATGTGTGACAGATTGTACAACACTATATGGACCCTTTAATTTTAAGCCTTTCTGGGAGGCGCGCAGACCTGTAGGGAGGGCTTTATGAACGCCAGCGATTATGCATGCATCAGGCCTCTGTAACCCCTTCTATCGGATTGCTCTGAGGCAGATGAGTTCGTCTAAAGGACGTTTTTTTACGAGGGGTCTCTCCTGAGCTACTGGATGGGTTCCTGCGAAAACTTTTCAGATGCCTGCCGCGATTATACCCATCCCGTAGACGCTGGTTTCCCTTTTGTATTGGATTATTGCCTGACAGACACATCCCGAAATCGAGGCCGACACAAAGATATCCCGATAGTAAAGCTATCTCCATGATTTAAAATCAGCTCGCTCGACCGATTTTTTGTCGCGCCTTCATTCCTACGACAAGACTGTTTATTCTTTAGTTCGAATCTTACTGTTTGCCCTACTTACCTCTACCAAATTTTGAATCCGCTTATTTCTAGTTTTGTCCCCCGTCAGAAATTAATTAATATCTGAAATGATGTTTTCCTACTCATACATTTTCGCCGCATGTTACGTAGACTTTTTCATCTATTCTATCTTAAGAACGGTGCTTTGGTTGTGCCCTTGACTTTTAAGTATGCTAGCAGACTGTCCAGACGAAAACAAATAGCCGGATTGGTCCACTTTACTGAAAAATGTTTGTTAGGTGTCCCAAAACCTTCCATCAGTAAAGTTAAACTCGTTCAAAAGCGCAGTATCCCGCTCCATGAAACGTTCTCGGTAAACCTATAGTTGATTTTCAGTTGCACGCAGACGGTTTTAATGCTATTTTGTCCAAAATATTTATATAAAACGCGACCATTTCGCTTCTGCCCATCCAGAATTTGACAAGGCAGTACCGGAAATTATAACTTTCACTCTGTGGGATGTGATTGTAGCACTGCATTTGGATGCCTCCTGATGATAATATAAAACAGTTTCGAGATTTACAGCCGATGGACTTACCAAAGAAACGTTACTTTATATTCTAAGTTTTGTGCTTTCTGTTCAAAAGGATTGTCGAATTTTAAATGTTTTATTAATTATGCAGCAGCATAGCCCTCAAATATTATATCAACACTTAGATACTGGTTATTTAATAAAATTGCCGTCAACAGTCTGCAAAACTACCTTTGAAGAAAATGGCCATTTAGACAAAAACAGTCCTTCAGATCCGGGACCTCTTTATAATTTCAATCAGATTTAATAGCAAGCTACCTTGTTCTACTCCTATATTGCTTATTTAGTTGCATATTGCTTCTTTTTCCTGGCCTGTCATTTACCTGTTGGTTATTGGCTATATCTAAAGTCACCATAGTTTTCACCCAGTAATGATTTACAACTCTCTGAAATTCGTAAATGAATTTTGGAAGCTGTGTTTGATGATAAAATACTCACTCATGATTTACCCTTCATTCATTTAATAACTATCCATGTAGATTCCAGAATTTCAATCATAAAGTCAAGTTTCGTAACTGGTCCCAGTTGGTGTGCTGTTCAATAGGAAAAAATGAAAATGAATTTGCCCTTAATTTTGGTGCATTCAAAAAGGACCTCTTTGACAGTGACCAAGTGGTAATTCACTGATGCTTACCGCTTACCTTTTCAAAAAAGACTAATTTGGTTCAGACTTATACAAACTACGATTACGTTTGTATCGACTTAATATATAATCATACTTGGTAGCACAGCCATTCAAGCACAATTTTCAATGGTCATCCTAAAGTTTGTGCGCGTAGATATCTTAAGTCTATTTCTTTGAATTCACCATGTCTTATCTTCATTGCTACGTACTAAGACACTTGAGACGACAGCTACGTGATCTATCCAACAGCTCCTTATCAGTTCATTTTCAAAACCAAGGGGTGTTTGAAGTGGTCTCAGGAATTCGCAAAGCGCGCGACCTTAATCACCTGCTCTCACTGATCCGAAATCTGGCAAACCGGCCGATAACATCTACTATCATAGTTCCTTCCGTAAGCTTGGCCACGGACGTCTACTGCTGCTTAAGAATACCTAAACCTTCCTCAGCGATGGAAATGACAAGACAGACTTTTTAAAGGCTTTCTTTGAGAAACATCTTACTACTGAGTCCGAGTAAGTCCCTCTCTTTCGTTCACGTCAGGGTTAGACACAGAGTACAATGTATGTCTCCTCAGATCTTATTAACACACACGTAGGTCGTTCGAAAAAATCGCACCGCTTAGGAACGGACGGAATTCAATTTTCGATCATTAAACAAACATCCGACCGTCCTAGATTGCTTAGCCATCTGTTCGCGGCTTATATTTCAAAATATTTTTTTCCTGAAACACAAAAGCGTTCATTAGTATCCGTGTCTTCATGTCGGGATGTCGGTGCAATATTGTGAACTATCGGAGCGTGCAAAAAACCCCGTGTCTAACAAAATGCATTAGGGAATTATTTTCATCGAAGTTTTTGACTTCCGTATAGCTAATCGGCTTCTTAGCGTCAATCCCCCTTAGTTTTTACTCGAACGATCAGATGATACTTGTCACTTGGCATTTTCCAATCTAGTCACCTCTTTTTGTAATGAAGAGCAGTCAGTGGTAGTAATCTACTTCAATGTTAGAAAAACTATAGATAAATTGTCTCGTGTGATTGTTTTAGTAAATTAATAGCTCTCCGCATCTGGACGCCTATAGTCAACTTTTTCACGTCCTATAGATACAATGTATATCAGAATGTCATGATCGGAATTAGCTACTGGAAATCTCACTCGGGACATTACACCTGGGTTCGCTATTTTTCCTTCTTTACATGAATGATTTTTTTACGAAATTCAGAAGTTGGCAAGCTTTTGTTGATGCGGATTACCTTAAGCGTGACAAATCATGTTCTACGGATACTGCAAATCTTTGTGTTGAAACAGCAATGCCGATTTCCGAAGCCTATGCAGATGGAGTTGAACATGGTAAATGGATTTTTCCTAATCTAAGTATAGTTTCATGTCTATTTTTCCAGTCTGGTCCCGTAATTTTTCAGAACCACTCACTCTCATAATACTTCCCTACAAAAGACCTAGGTTAAATTTATATAAATAAGATAGCTTATTGCCTTATGCAGATAGTAGCTCTGCCAAAGACGCACATATATGTGGGTTCATATCACATTAATGTTTCCTTGAGGAAATGAAGCTAAAACCTTATCCAATGTTTGTTTTTTCCACTCCTCGAATACTGGTGTGCTTTTTGTGGATTAATAACCGCCTGTGAACGTAATGAAATCGAAAATTCTCAGATGGTTTTCATTTAAAAACTTATCTTCCAAGCTCCGTCCAATATTTCTTGTTCTCAGGAATTTCAGCCAGATACCATTGAGTTTTTGTGTGTAGGAAGCCTCGAAGGTTACCTTTCCTTCCTCGCATTAATTATAGCTCTAAACTTCCGCTCACTAATGCTTACACTCCGTCTGTTTGGTTTTATGTCACGCGAAACTCCTCCATGCCGATTCCGTAGCCTACTTCCACTACATATAAACGCTCCATATTTGTGCTTCCGCATATGCCGTCCTTCGGAATAATCTTCCCGCAAAAATTAGATCATTGCAGAAGTTATCAGTATTCAAAAGGAAACTCCAAGTGCGTCTTCGGTGCGCCCTCCCTAGAATTTCTCGGTCATCTGCTCGACTCCCACGACATTCGGCCTCTTCTCTTAAAGGTTGCCGCCATTCGGATCTTTCCACTCCCTATCTCGAAGCGTCAGTTGCAACGGTTTCTTGGTTCGGTATTATTTATCGCCGGTTTCTACCGAACTGTGATGATCCCATGTTGCCGCTCACCAACATGCTTTCTGGTCTCAAAGGCCCCCTCGCGCTGACTGGTAAAGCACTGTCTGCTTTGAGAGAATCAAGAATTTCCTTGCTGATGTCAACTAACTTACACATCCCGCTCCCGAAGCTCAGCTGTCTCTGATTGTAGATGCTTCGACCGTAGCCGCAGGTGCAGTCCTTTAACAACACCTTGCTGGTTCGACTCAGCCACTTGCTTTTTCTCCAAAAAGCTCTTACCAGCTGAGACACGCTGCAGTACCTTTGGCCGTGAACTACTTGCCATTTACCTGGCTGTGAAGCATTTCCGGCATTTCCTTGAAGGTCGTGACTTCACTGTTTTCACTGACCCCAAACCGTCGACTTTTGCACTTCGTTCCCACAATGACAATCTAAACCCTCGGGAAATCCATCGACTGGACTACATCTTCCAGTTAAACTCAGATATCCGCCACATCGACAGGTCACGGAATGAGGTGGCTGACGCATTGTCCAGGCCCTCCATTGCACATCTTCAGCTTTCACCCAGGATTGACCTCGTTGTGATGGCCGCTGAACAACGCTGTGTCGGTCCACCCTGTGATGATGATGTTGCTGGACTCCAACTTCAGGAACTACCACTGACAACTGGCAACGGCACCATTTTATGCAACGTAACCATCCCATCTCATCGTCCATTTTCGCCACCATCCCTCCACCGCAAAGTTTTCTCCTTCCTGCACAATCTCTCTCGACCTGGAATTCGAGCAACCGATAAGCTGGTTTCCGATCGCTTCGTCTGGCCTGGAATACACAAGGACCTAAAACCATGGACACGGGCTGTCAACGGAATAAGGTCCGACGGCACAATGGTTGTTCCTATCTCCTCACCTGTGTGAAGCGGTTCCCTCGGTGGCCTGAAGCTATTCCCCTGCCTGACATTGCTGCTCCAACGGTGGTCAAGGCTTTTTCCGTCGTTGGGTTGCTATCTTCGGTGCACCCTCCACAATCACGACTGACAACGGTGCCCAGTTTGAGTCTAAACTCTTCTAGTCTTTACTCTCCTTTTTAGGCTGTACTCGCATCCACACTACGGCCTATCACCCGGCAGCCAACGGGATGATCGAGCGGATTCACCGACAGCTGAAGGCCTCCCTACGCGCCGCGGCCCATTCGGAGAACTCGACAGACAACCTTCCTCTGGTCCTTTCGGGCATCTGCTCCGCTCTGAAGCCGGAATTTGATTGTTCCACAGCTGAACTGGTGTTCTGTGCCACCGTCCGACTCCCCAGTGAGATAATCTCGCCAACCCCACAAGGTGCGGTTGAGGATCCCACCAACCTCCTGCATCGCCTCCGGCAGTTTATGCAGACACTTCCCACGATTCCTCCCAGGTCCTGCGCCTCTCCGCCTTATCTCAAGAAGGACTTGACATCCGCTTTGTTTGCAAATGATGTAAAATTAAGTCTCGCATTACTATATGTAGCAAATTTGGGTTGCTGAATTTGGCCTACTGATTCAAGTATATGGGAAATTATTTTCGATTTAATTTTGAAAGATTTACCGGCTAGATTTCAGTTGGTAGCCAGACCGCGTATTGCAGGCGGAAGGCGTTTTTTACTAGGGTTATTTATTGGGGCTCCATAATCACATCTGACCCTTTTGACATCCATCTCACGTTTAGGGTGAGAATAACGATATCAATGAAAGGTTTTCGACTTTCGGGTTAGGGTAATGCCTTCACGGTTAAGTTTTTGGTTTACGGTTATGGTTTGAGCGTACGATTATGTTTTGAGTTACGGCTATTCCCAAGGGATACGGTTACATTTAAGATCTCGGTTGGTTTTATGGTTGTCGTGAGGGTTAACGGTTAACGCTTACGGTTGAGGTTAGGGTTAAGGTCGCCGTCCACTTTCCCATTACTGGGTAACAACTGCGGTCTAGGCGATCTACCCATTTCAGTTAACTATCTTATTTCATACTCATAAGCGACATGGCCTGCCGTCCTTTAGATTTCTCCTTAAATAATCCTCTTTGTCACATTTACTCGTTTTTGCTTGTGCATTTTGTTACGAGTCATGAATGGGCAGTTGCAATTCTACTGGATTGGCGAAGCAATGAAAATTCGCATGGACGACGTATTTTAGCCAATGTATATAAACAGATGAGAGAAAGAACGGCCAAGGTCGGTAGAATTTCGGGTAAATGCTGGCATTCTTTTGTGCATGTTTGTGGAGAAAAATCCGTAATACTTTTGTATTAACATGCCAGTATTACCGGTCGTTCCACTTCTTTGATGGGTGTAACTGCATCAGGTGTTTGGCCTTACATCTTGTTTAACTATGTTTGTTTACTTGGGTGCATCATTTATTTAATGCTTGTATGTTTGAATTTTCCTTTAAGAAAAGTTTATTATTTCGCTTTTTCCACTTGTGTTTGACTGAGCGCCTAACTCAACTTACTGTAGTAACCTTTTCTTGCCATTTCGTCAGAACTTTTATTTTGTGTTTGTCTACTTTTGTAATTAAAATTAATTGCTTGTGTAACGTGTTCGTTTGACATGGAGTTAAAATAACGGGTTCGTTTGAAAATGATATATGTCTCTACCGGACATGTCAATGCTTTGTCAAGTATTCCTGTTCGATCACACCAAAACGCCTATTATTACTGGATTGGTGTGTCCTTTTCTTTATTGTTCGAGATAGAGGGTTATAATTCACACTATTACCAATTTTGCCAGAATTTAAGTATATTTTAGTGCATTAGCCAAACGCAAAGACGAAGTAATCCTTAATATGCAATCTTCACTTTATCGTTTAACGACTAACTATTCGAAATGCCTAGGGGTAGTCGTTATACTAGTGGCACTGTTGTGTTTCCTAGACATAAAACGCAATTATAATGAAAACGACAATTCGCACCATTGTTCTTGTGTGAATAAGACGGACGTTGCCGAACTTCATTTCTTAGATATTTACTTGGCTATCGTCGCTGAAATGAAACCACATACCTACGTAATATTTGTCCAATTTAACTGTGCTACTTGCATTTTATAAGACAAAGTAAAGTAAAGCTTAATCTAACTAGCCTACACTAAGCGAATTTCATCATATGTTGGCCGTCAGAAAGTTACAAATGCGCGTCTCCTTCTGATTTTATATTGTTAAGAAGATAACAATTCGGTTTTAAATTTTTTTTCTAATTCCCTAATAATTTGAACCCCATCTGCTTTAACACTTGCATTCAGGGTTTCCAAACTGCAAATCATATATTTTCTGCATACGGAAAGCAATATAATTATATATAAGATTAAGCGAGGACCATGTATGGTTCATACAATTTAGCAGTGGATTTGAGCTATGTTGTTAACTTTACAGACGACATTGGTAGTTGCAGAGGTATGATGATTTATATACGGCAGTTTCACAGTATTTAAAATCTCATAATTGTAGACTTTCTGAAACCGAATTTTGCACGTATTTTGCGTATACATTTTGAAAGAAATCGTGCTTTTCTTTTGAATAGGCAAAATAGAGAATATATTTTATGCACATTTTAGGAAATAAATTAAATATGAAAGGTCATCATAAATCAATTCGACAATTGCATGCTATTTTAGTAGACCTTCCATAGAATTCTTCTTAAATTCAGGCAGAAATAAGTACGTTCGAAGCTATCACCGTGGAGCATTATGGAATAATGATGCAGGATTATAAGTCTTACAGTCCATTGCATTAAAATTTTTTTTGAAACGAGAACGAATATGGAAATTTTGAACGATATTTCATGGGAATAAACAACCTATGTTGTAAAAGGGTGGCATCCCGATAAGTATAATTTAAAGTTAGAAGGTACTAAGGAAAAATTTAGCATTTTATTACCGCATTTTGAATGTCGCTACCACCTGTCGTCGTCAGTTTGAGTAAGCAGATAAAAAACGTTCGTCATTGTTAAAACCAAAACAACAATACCCCTTTGGTGACTCTCTCAGTAAGCGTATGTCGTATACGCAATTATAGATGCATTTTTTTCCTCTCTTTAAATTTTATCGATTAATTTATGACTCTTCTGAATTCGTGACTTTGCGGATTTTCTGCTGATTCTGCTACGAGACGGCGATAACGATGCAAAACCATGCCCGCTCATGCGAACACTGAAAGCCAATAATGCTATTGATATAATCATGCATATACATAACCTGCACTTGCTTTAAAAAGAAGGCATACCATTTGTCAAATTTAAACGAAGATATATGCTTGATCATGACCAACTGCTTTTGTGAATGAAGAATATTATCGCGTCTTTACAGCAGGCCATCCTATCTGATTATTTGATAAATTCGAAAAAAATGGCTTTCTTTTCTAAAATTGTTAGTCCTTTTGCAGATAGCTGTAGGTCTAAGTGAATGAAGTGCACGCCCTGTCTTGAGCAGCTCATGCAGTTTTAGTGGTGTGTCCGGGCGACGCTGTATAACAAGACTTTGCATCAAAAGCCGTATTTCGTCTATGGACTTGTGGTCCAGAAATAGCCTGTTTTCAAGAATATTATTTAAGGCCTTATTGTGTAATCTCGCTAGTCCCTAACTCGATGACGTAGGGAATATTCTTTGTGAGTTGTATACAACTCCCTTCTACGAGCCAATAAATGGCAGTGCCATCGTAACAATTTCTGCTCGTCCAGTGGCATCCTGAACTGATGCGGCATAATTTGGATTAATTTTTCTCTTCTCTCGCTGCATCGGCATTTCGGGCGATAAATTGCCGGCTTTTCAGTTGGTTGCCATCTATGTCACTTACGTGTCTCGCTTATTTCCTGTTACTGCATCACTACACTTTCGCAAAATGTCGTTTATTGTTCGGTTTGTATTCATATCTGGCTGCCTAATTAACCAGTATCACTGAAATAGCTATTTGTTGACTATGCTAGGGGGTGCTCACCGATCGTTCATACGGAACTCACTCGTTCCGTTGTGCCTTATGGACTCTCTCTCTCTCTAGCCCAACCAGCAGCCGCACAGCAGCGCATGATATATAGGCAGAATGATATTACCTTGCCTTTGTCGCTAATATCATACTGCCTATTTGTTGACTATTTGTTGTCGGCGCCTTTTCAAAAGAATACGAGAGCACCTTCCGGCATGGCTGGCAAATGGAGAAACTAGGAGGAAAGACAGCGCCATCTTTGCGCATGTGCTGGAGTTACGACATCGTGTGATACCCACTTAAGCATTTCGTGTGATTAACAATGTCCCCTCGAGCTACCCTAAGCTACTGGGTCAGCGCAAATTAGCAACATCAGAAGCGGCCGCCATAAGGTTACGAAAACCGTCCCTTTGTGTCCAAAAGAACACTGTTCAAGACTAATCACATACAACTTTCTGCGCCCTTCCGCTCTTACCTAGCCTGTAATTTAAAATCTAACTTTTATCGATTTTCGTTTCACTTACTCTTACCCGCCCTATGTAACTGTATTAGGCTGATAAGAATTCATCGAAAGAAACGTTCACTCGCCACTTTCTCTTCTAAGCATTATTCCGTTTAGAATTTTCTTTTGATTGCAGGTACGTTGCGGAGCTCAGACATTTTGCGCTTCAAATTATAGTTACTGACTGTCTTTCAAGGAAAACCTGTTCGCCGACAGGCCAAATTGGTACTTTGCTAGGCTATAAAATTTGCAGTGATACGCAGCTCACATCAAAAAGTCTATTTTTGCCGATTCCATTAGCTTGGCCTCATTGGTTTTTATTTTTGAGAAAGACAGGGATAACGTACTTGAAAATTCGATAAATGCATTGGTCATCAAGTCTTACTTCTTGCATCTTCTTCTTATTCTTCTCCAAAGAAGTCATTTTTAGTGTATTACCGGAGCACACGAAGGGAAAAATTTTTAAAATGTAATCTCCGAATTTTGCGGTAACGATGATTGACTTTGCAATACTCGAGTTGCTTATTTTCAAATCAGAATGCCCAATTGGTTTAATTTTCGTGATTAAAGGTTAATACCGCAAACTGTCTGTTTGTTTTGCCGATTTTTACAAAAGTCCTTGTACATCAGTGATTTGCTGGTTAGAGGCAGACCTTTTCGCAATGCTCGAACTTATCCTTTACAAATCATGATGTCTAAATGACATACTACACATATGTGGCGTGAACCTTACTTTGCAGAAATTTTCTCTAAAATCTGATTTAGCCAAAAGTCGTCAATCCCTTTGCATGGTATTGGAACGTGTTAAAAAGGGAACATTTGAGATGTCATTATATCTACACAAGATCACAGTGCCTTCGGTTGCGTCTTTAGGACAGCTGACGTTAAAAGATCATGTTTTTTAATCATAAAAATACTTCCTCAGTATGTGTGGGTTTTCCAAAACAACTACTTTTGAGTGAAATGCATTCCATGTTTGCAGATTATAGCACACATTTTTATACAACTCAACATCTACAAGGAGTGTGAATTCTGCAAGAATGCAGATGCATATATACTCTTCTGAGATTTCGATTATATGTAGGTTCAGAAAAAATAAAAATGACGTGTTTGTAATAAAATGAACATGAGGAATTTCGCAAAAGTGATATTCGCTCAAAGCACCTGTTAGAACAAAATAATATAATTTTCGCAGTGTCACATTTGTTTTAATAAATAAACAGAATATGAATCATGTGATACAGGAGAAAGCCAATGCAATCGTGGAGACCTCTGATGCAAGAACGTCCAGTTTAAGCAGTAAATTTTGTATCCATGGTGTTACACCCTTCCAACGTTGTCTCCGGGCATTCTCGACAATACTATTAAAACAAATCCGTTAAAATGCAATAGCTCGCGTTCTGCTAATGCGCTAGATGCGATCAAGAAGTCTGCAATTGCGTCCACATTTTTTCACGTAGAAGTTACGTTTGTCAACACTTGCGGGCCGAGTGACCATTGCTATGAGAGGGTTCATCTGAAAATATAACATGGGTAAGAATCGTACAAAGCACACGTGCATTCGACAAAATTCCAATAAATACTCCACAGAGGCGAAATCCCTAATGCTTAACTTGCCTAATTATAATTTTAAAGACATTGATAATAATGCGTTAGTATGTATGTCGTAATCCCGGTTATAGTAGTACAGCGTTTTGTGCCGAGTTTCGTTTGTGGGTGTAAGTGTGATTAGTGAGCAGCTAAGGTATGCTTCTAGCATCGGCATTTCGTTTTAAATCAACAGTTTCAATTATATATCACATTGCCGTTTACAAACAACCTGTATGTATATACAAAATAAAACTGATAAGAAATGTAATTTCACCTAAATTATCCACGAAATTATACGAGTGGTTTACATTAAGTAATTATTTCATTCATATGCGTAATGTGGGCGTTTAAAACGAGGATGTACGCTAAGTTGTAGTATACACTATAGGCTGTGAGGATGCAAGTATTTTAGGTAATTGTGCTTACTGTGTAAAGCAGACGAATATGCATCAGCGAAAATGTTACATTGCACGTCAATCTGAAGGCGTGTGCTTCAACCGTTTGGGACACAATGAAGCAATGATGAATTATTGGTTCAAACCGAACCCGGATGATTAAGTTTGTCGTGGTATTATCAACATTCTGCCTGTGTACACTAAGCACTGAATTCCGACTTAGTCGATCCAGCAAGATGTTGGCAAGCCGCAAATTCTCCCCGAAAAGTAGACACGACATTGGCGCTAAAATGCCAACTTATGGACAAGTTTAGTTAATGGCAAAGCCTATTTGAATATTGCGTACATAGAAGTAAGTTTAAATTACAAATTGCGAAAATTGCAGTCCCTCGTGGAATTTCAATCATGAATGTCCAGTGCGCCGACCTTCACATTTAATATGTCAGAATATGTGTTTCAAAATCAAAAATGTGGATTCCACAATAAAGTTATTCGAATTATTAATGCCTATTTTTCAAGTATATTAGGCAATTAAGTAAATTGCAGAGCCTACTTAGAGACACATGTAAAAAGTCGGACAGTACCTGAAGCGACGCGAAACACCGTAAAATTTAACTTACATACGCTGATTTCGTACTTGCAGGCTGTGAGTAAAGACAAGTAATTACGGAGTGCGAATAGTGTGAGAGATCCCAGAGAAAACATTCGCTGATCTTGTGCGGCGAGGGCATAAGGAGATGTGACCACAGACTTTAATGGCGGTCGTACTGATCAAATGGTATTGTAATGCTTTAAGGACGACACTGGTTGTCTTATGGTCATTAGGAGTCATCGTGCGCTAAATGCGCCATTTATCGCAGACGAAGTGCTTAATTTATTAGTCGCATTTAGCAGTGCTTATCCGTCATTAACACAAAACAATGTAAACCACGTGCGTTGCTTACATTTCAAAGCGTATGCCGCCCAATATAACCGGCCGATCTGGATTTTCGACAGTGATTAAGCAGATGAGCAAAGGCTGCTGCTATGGAGGCAAAGGCGACAAGCGACAGGCGACATTTGTGATACATGTCTCAGACACAGTACTGGCAACTGTCCAATATAGCAGTTTACTGAACCCCGAGATGCCGATATCTACGCCGCTGGCAAAACTAGCAAACTGCTAAACAGCTCGCTTGCCTGAATGCATTTTCTCTGATTCTCATCCGATATGGAGAAATAATAGAAATACAGTCAGGTGTGATTACAGTAGGGGCTCACCGATCGGGTTTCAGAAAATGCTCGTTCCGTTGCGCGTTGGGGCTCGTACTAGTACCCTCGCATGCAGTCGCACAGCGACTAATAGTAGACATATTTTATATGGTGTCGATAAATACATACACCGATAAATGAATGACCTTTTATACATTATTAATCGTCATCAACCTGTCATACCCAACCCAAAGTGTGGATCACTTGAGATTCGAACCTGGAGTCTTTGGTCATGGAATTTGGCACTCTGCCAAATGTCGACGCAAAGCATGACTGGGTTTCTCGGTAAAACCTGTGTTTAGAATATTGTATATCGTAATTTTTATACATATTATTAACTAGCTTTTGGCAATTCATTGAGTATAAGGCAACCATCCCGTTGTGGCTGATAAACTTTGCACTGTTCGGTCTGTTGCCAACCGCCGAAGGTCCCCATTACAGTTAATCGCAATCGATTAATGACCCATTGGCTGCAAGCGATGTGTTTTTGAAGCTATATTGACAGGACAACAATGAGTAAACTTTTCCGAAGCACAATATCTACCACATACGAAACTAGACACAAAACGCTGTACTCCACCGATCCGATTTTTGGTGTGAATTCCGGAATATGGATGCCAGTGTCTGTCGATCTGTGATTGGGTGATATTATTTACCTCTTCTCAATGATATATCAACTTCCAATTTAGCTTTGGTATTGAAAATGTGGATACGAAACCATGCAAAGGATATATGTCATGTGTAGCGTAAATTATTAGACAAATAACAATGTTGCAAAAATCAAAATGCTCAGTCTTGGAAATATATGTAATGTCAAGTGAAAGCACAGCTGACTTCCTCAGTTATGAACTCTCACCGATTCCGATAAAAAAACTGGCCTTTTGATAATGTAGACTTCCCAAAGTTTGGTATCCTTCTTGATAAGTAAACAAGTAAAAGTCTCCAAAATGAGTTCAAGAAATTTGACCCTAGCTGCGTGTTAGGAACATATAGCAGGATTCCACATCACCATCTATCACCGAAAAACGAGTCGCTTTGGGTCAAATATTGGTATACTAGGATCTGAGTTACATTTGATGCAGATGTTAGGACACGAAATATTGACCAAACTCGGAATTTGGCAGAACGCCACTTATATAACGTGGAGATGTCTTCTTTCAGGTCGAACTAAAAAGGATTACTAACGTCGGCTTTTGGCATTAGGGCGACTTCCCATTATCAACGAGCCTGCGAGCAGAAGCATGTAAATGTCTGAAGAACTCAGATAGATAAATAGGCCTCTCAAACGCAATGGCTTTTATATCGTTGACTAGACAGCTATTCACCATCGTTTGGTAGTAATTATGGATGAAAATGACGTTTTTGCACCCCCTGATAATAAATATTATTGATTTAAGCGAGTTATTCTTTTCAATCAGTTAAAGCAGTTCAAAGAAGCATCTATCCTATTCGCCCACAAATGCCTAATTATCGTTGGTCAGAATTCAACTACTTCGGAATTCACTGATTGAGAACATTTGCCGGGTTTGAAGAAGGAGACACACTGACTAGAACAAAAGCTTTATTAGCCGAAAGTTTCGGATTCCTGATCTAACACACCATCAGAAACAAAAACAGATAGGGTCATAAACAGCGACATACTTCATATAAATTTGGTGTTTTGATCGAAAGGGACCTATGACGGCGAACATAGACGAAGTGGATTAATCCCTGCAGTTAGAGGCAGATTCTGCTTTAGGGGCAATAAAGTGTGAATAATCTAAATTCTCAACTCCAAACTACTTTCGCCGCACGTACTGCGCGTAAAGCGTGTATGTGAATGAGCGCTTCTATGATCGTGCGAGAGATAGCTGAATGGTTCAGCGGCTAGGTGTGCGTGAATTGAGTCCGCTTTGGCATAAACACCGGAGTCTTGTGGACGTGCCTACGTAAGCGCATACTGGCATGTAAACGATACAGACAGTAGACGCTTTGGAAGACATGGCTGAAGGTGGGTTTAACAGTGAATTGGATACGTCTGTCAGCTCAAACTCCATGACCTGACCTGTCCTAGCAACAGCAAAAGCAACAGCAAAAACAACTGTTCATGGTCCCCCTGTAACAGTCAAGACAGCGTTGTATCACGCGTACACATGCTGATTTCTACTCAGTTGCTCACTTTAAGGCTAACCACCATCAAGACAGCTGAGCCTAATTACTTCAGTTAAGGGAATGCTTGAGGGGAGTTCTTTTAAAATGACAATCCATAAAGACGTCGGCATGCAAGCAGGCAGACGTCTACTTTGGCAATTGCCATAAAATTTAATGTGTCATCATTAAAAGCTGCATTTTTGATATGATAAGTTGTTGCCAGTGCATACTGCAATTGGCAGGTCTTGATGTATAGCTATCATCAAGTTAAATTCTTTGCCGACCGAACAGTTGTATTGAATTTTAATTATGTTTTCCATGAAACAAAACTGAGTAATGCATGTTGTTGGTGACATCTACCTTTCTTCGATACGAGCCGAGGCTCTTTGAAAGGCTTTCACTGCTTCTGAATAAATTGTACACGAAATGTTACATTCAAGAAAAGCTGTTGTTTTAAGATAATCATCTTAGCACTTGCATCTTTCTACAACATCTCACTGTAGAAAAATGTGCTCCGCTCGGATATCTTTTCCCAGCACTACTTCAGGAAATGCCCCTTTTTTCTCAAGTTCAATAAGGTTTCTAATTTCCAGAGGATATCATCAGTAGGCTGCTGGCCTTCATCGAGCATGGTGTTCTTTATAATACATGAGCAGCTCGCTAAGAGTGCAACAGGCCAGACGCAGACAGCTCTTTCACGGTCGTTACTGATCATCACTAAGTCATAAGCCTTATGAAGTGAGGTCTATAAGCATGTCAAGCGGACGTTTGACTGACGATCGGTAACGACCGTGAAACAACTGTCTGCCTCTGGCCTGTTGCACTCTTAGCGAGCTGCTTATCTATTATATGTGGTATGTGTCCTCTGACGCAGCGTTCGTTGTCGCCAGTAGCAAGCTGGTGAACGGACAGAATGGGATTGAGTGAGATCCTAGCCACAACAGTGAGAGTCAAACGCCCGCGTGGCATGCATATATATATATATATATATATATATATATTGAAAAACAGGCATCCCAAGAAATATAATTAGAAAGATGAAGTTCTTTGGGAAACAGCAAAATTTTATTGTGAATTTTCGAGACTGGTTCCCCAGCTCGTCTTCAGACAATGGCCGTGTAAAAACATTTAACTTTTAGCCTGAGTCTAGCAAAAGGAGTCAATGATTGGTTAATATTGTCATCTCGGGATTTGCTGACTCAGTTTGAATCTGTCTTTAACGATTTTGTATGCGGCGTCTAAATCGATATGCATAGGAGAACACTCGCATTGTTGGCGCCTGCCAATCAAGAAAAGGCGGCGAATTCCTGGAAGCAATGCAGTCAGATGAGGCATGCATCAACCGGCATATCGATTTAGACGCCGCATACAAAATCGTTAAAGACAGATTCAAACTGAGTCAGCCAATCCCGAGATGACAATATTAACCAATCATTGACTCCTTTTGCTAGACTCAGGCTAAAAGTTAAATGTTTTTACACGTCCATTGTCTGAAGACGAGCTGGGGATCCAGTCTCGAAAATTCACAATAAAATTTTGCTGTTTCCCAAAGAACTGCATCTTTCTGATTATATTTCTTGGGATGCCTGTTTTTCAATTTATACGTATGAACTTCGAGCGGAGTGTTCTGCCTTATGCTCGACGATGGGAAAAATGTGCTATTCGCGAAAGTTTGACCCGAGAACAATTATCCTTCTTACACCGATGTCGAAGCAATAGGATTCTACCAAAATCTGTGCGAGTGAAACCAGCATTAAAGTCATCTCAGGGCTATCAGATTGCTACCCGGTATGGCCAACAAATGCTTGGAGCCTTTATAACTGATGCGCATCAACGACTTCGCAAATTCAAAAAGCAAAAAGAACACTACATGCAATTTTGCCATGATCAACTGCCTATTCACTTATTTGAAATTCTACAGGAAACCATCATACATGTCGCAGAACTAGAACGGATAAAAAAGAGGAGCACCTTGGACAAAAAGTGGGCAATTATTTCTCGTAAAGGTTGTACTAATTCTACATGTCCAAGGAAGGTCGTAAACCTATCCGCTTGGGTCCTAACGGCAACAGAGGAAAGTGTGCTGTGCAAAGGAATGAAGTACAATCCATCTGACTCCAACTACTTAGACTTTCTTGCCAACCTCGAATCAATCATATCATCAACCAATCTTGCCGAAGAAGAACAATTCACCATTCGCAGCAGCACTGTACAGGCATTGAAGAACCGAAAAAAGTTCTCAACGCTATCTTACGATGAAACGAAAGCCCTTAAAGCTCTAAAACAAGACGAAGACATCATCATTCTACCTGTCGACAAAGGAGGTGCCACCACTGTTTTGAACAAAACAGACTACACAGACAAAATGATGTCACTCTTAAAAGATGATTCAACATACGAACCTCTAGCTGCCGACCCCACCAAATCGCAAAACTCACATATTGAAAAAACACTGAAACGCCTTTCGGGCAGGAAATTAATCACAGGAGTCCTTGCCAAGTCTTTAAAACAGGATGAACCAACAATTGCCAAGATATATGGTCTTCCCAAAATTCATAAAACTGATATTCCGCTGCGACCGATAGTCTCTCTAATCGGTGCACCCAACTATAAGATCTCGAAATGGCTATTTCGTCAACTACATCCACTAACGAAGAACTCCGAGAACTCCATTCAGAATTCAAAAGAGTTTCTAGACAAATTAAGCGGTGTCAACATCACATGTGACGAGATTATGGTGTCATTCGATGTGGTCTCGCTTTTCACTTCGATTCCGCTAGATTTAGCAAAAAGCTGCACCGAAGAACTCCTTCAAACATATACTTCTGAGGTACCTCCAGAGGCTTTACTTCAACTCATGGATCTCTGTATGGAGACAAATTTTTCCTTCTCAAATCAATGCTACCGACAATTAAAAGGTGCCCCCATGGGTTCACCAATATCCGGTTTCCTGGCAGAAGCATTACTGCAGAAATTAGAGAGCATAGCCCTTCCCACAGTCAATCCAAAACTTTGGCTGCGATACGTAGATGACACTTTTGTCATCGTCAAGAAAGATCAGTTGAATCTACTCCATACCAATATTAACTCCATATTTCCAGGAATTACATTTACTTTGGAAACAGAGGTCGATGGACAACTCCCATTCCTGGATGTCCTTGTACGTCGAAAAACCGATGGATCACTCCAGACATCAGTTTATCGCAAAAAGGCGTATTCAGAGGTCATCCTACACTTTGAGAGTAACCACCCTGTCTCTCACAAACGGGGTACAGTCTACAGCCTTCTGAATCGAGCCAAAACCCACTGCTCTGACGAAACAAGTTATCGAGCAGAAATGAAATACCTCTACAAACTGTTCTCCCAAAATGGGTACCCGAATGACTTTATACGTCAATGCATGAGGTACCAGCAACTCAAGGGAAAAGGTATTTCCAATACTACGGCCACTCAGGCACCAAAACAAACCACATGGCGAACTCTCCCATACGTCAAAAATGTATGTGAACTTGTCGAAAGACAATTGAAAAAGTACCAGATACACGTAGCACACCAGCCGGCAACTACCTTACGCACACAGCTCGTGCACCCTAAGGACAGGGTCGGCTTCCTTGAAAGAAAAGATGTCGTCTACAAAATCCCGTGTTCTAGTTGTGATGCCGTTTATTGTGGCCAAACTGGGAAATCTGTCTCAACCCGTTTACATGAGCATCAGTTAGCGGTGAAGAGACGCGACCATTTATCCCAGGTGGCCATGCACACACTAGACACTGGGCATAAATTCGCATGGGAGAACACTCTTATTGTTGGCGCCTGCCAATCAAGAAAAGGCCGCGAATTCCTGGAAGCAATGCACTCAGATGAGGCATGCATCAACCGGCATATCGATTTATACGCCGCATACAAATCGTTAAAGACAGATTCAAACTGAGTCAGCAAATCCCGAGATGACAATATTAACCAAAAATTGACTCCTTTTGCTAGACTCAGGCTAAAAGTTAAATGTTTTTACACGACCATTGTCTGAAGACGAGCTGGGGAACCAGTCTCGAAAATTCACAATAAAGTTTTGCTGTTTCCCAAAGAACTTCATCTTTCTAAATATATATATATATATATATATTAAAGGAGAAGGCTCGTCGGAAAATCGAGGTATACTCGTGAATTTTCAAGTCGGTTACACCAACCCGTCGTCAGACGAAAATGAAAAGTGTGAGGGAGATAATCCTACTGGGGAGTCAGGGGGACATCGAGGTTACATCGACAAGACAGGCGTTTATGTGTGGGGGGTGAAGAACGTGTTTGGATAGGTGGCGGACGTTAGGGGTGGTGTTGGGGGTTTCACACATGGTTCACTCTGTGGGGGAGGTGCTGAATCCATGATATTCTACATGGCCGAACATGGATTAGCAGTTGGTGGCTTAAGGTGGGCGCAAGCCGGCGAACCGTGAACGTAAGCCTTCGTATTGAGCGTCCAAGTCGACATGGCGGTTGATGCTATTGCTATTAGAGTGCCAAGCTTCTAGAAACTCTCGCGCTTGTTTGGTGTTGGCACTAGCGATCACTTCGGTCCCCTCCCAGTTGAAGCGGTGATCACACTCAAGGGAGTGCGCAAACACGAGAGACAAGGGGTCCCGTCGGCGGATGGCCAACTTATGTTCGTTAATGCGGGTCCCAAGTCGTCGGCCGGTATGCCCAACATAAACGCTAGAGCTAAATTCACGAGTATACCTCGATTTTCCGACGAGCCTTCTCCTTTATTATATCGCCTCGGAATGCATACTACCTCCATTATTCATCATAATTTTGGGCGTCATACGCTTATTATTACCAGACGCTGGGAGAAATTCTCACAGAGACAGGCGACGACATCCGAGCAACTGACTTTCCTTCACCGCTGTCGCGATCATGGCATCTTACCGAAGTCCCTTCGCTTCAAGCCCACTCTACCAAATGAGACAGGAAGGCAACTCGCACGCAAATACGGATTCCGTGTTTTGAGTGCCATTATATCAGACGTGCACCACCGACTTTCTAGATTTGAGACAATAATCTCCGACCTTAAGAACCAGTGCTTCTCATCCTTACCTGAAGATATCTTCGAAGCCATACTACAACGTATAAATGCGACCTCAACAGATGCCAGAATGAAGAAGCGAGCCGAGTTGAATGATAAACTGCAATCCCTTCTCTGTCCTACCGACAAGTGCAGCATGTCTGCGAGAGTCGTTAACCTTTCGAAAAGGAGTCTAACACCTGCCGAGATAAGCCTACTGTCAAAAGGACTTAAATTCAACCATACCGATGCAGCACCAACAAACTTCCTAGCGAGTCTTGAATCCGTCCTACTGGTTTCTGCTATCCCTGAAGACGTGCGTGCGGACATACGCAGTTGTGCCAGTGGTCTTCTTCGACAAAGGAGACGTCACCGTAACTTGACCATCGATGAAGAAAAGGGGTTGCGATCTCTGAAGACTGATGACAGTATCGTGGTTGTACCTGCTGACAAAGGAGGCGCAACCGTCATCATGGACAAGGCTGATTATGTTCGAAAAGCAAACACTATCTTTAATGACAGGGAAGCTTACGCACCCCTCGCTGAGGACCCGACGAAGAAGCAGGCCGCGGTTATAAAGAAGAAGGTGAATGAACTCGCTCGACTGAAGCTGATTAACCCAAATGACTCCAAATTCATGACTCTCACTGATCCCCGTATCGCGCATGCCTATGGCCTTCCAAAAGTGCACAAACCAGATGCACCATTGAGGATAATAGTGCCACTCATCGGGTCGCCCACTTACAACCTAGCCAAATGGCTTTACAGGCATCTGAAGCACCTCGCTGATGGATCACAATACAGTATCACAAATTCTCAGGCATTCCTTCAAAGGATTGAAGGTCTTAAAGTAAGTCCTGATGAAAGTATTCTATCATTTGATGTTGTCGCATTGTTTTCCTCAATACCACATGACCTTGCCATTGAGAGCGTGGCCCATCGCTTACGAGACAATCCGATCGACCTTCCAACACATCACGTTCTAGAATTGCTTAAGCTCTGCCTCAATAACTATTGCCAATTCGATGGCAAATACTACCAGCAGGTTAAGGGCACCCCAATGGGTTCGCCAATTTCGGGGCTACTTGCAGAACTAGTCTTACAACGACTAGAACAAGATGTTGTCCAAAGTTTCCAACCAAAAACGTGGCTCAGATACGTAGATGACACATTTGTCATCGTTAAGACCTGTGAAGTTGAACGATTTCACCAGAGCTAGAATGGCGCCTTCCCAGCACTACAATTCACTCGTGAAGATGCAAAAAGAGGCACCCTCCCGTTCCTAGACGTGAGCATACAAAAGCTCAGTGACGGCGGCATCGCAACAAGCGTTCATCGGAAAAGCTCTGACGCTGAGATCATCCTGAGCTATCAGAGTAACCACCCAGCAGCCCATAAAAGAAGCTGTGTTCGGACCCCTTTTCCACAGGGCCTATCGTTACTGCAGTAGCGCCGATTTACTCAAAGATGAACTGGCCTACTTGCATCGCTTTTTCCGACTCAACGGATACCCGGCGAGCTTTGTGAAAAATTGTCTCAGACGTCAACAACAGCCACAAAACGTCGACTCTAACGGAGACAGGGTATCACGGAAATTCTATTCCTTGCCCTACATGCCGAGAATTTCCGAAGCGATCGCTCGACAATTAAATCGATTCGGCATCTCCATCGCCCACAAACAGGCGTCTTCATTGCGCACGACATTATCCCGGGTAAAAGACCCCATACCGAAGGAGCAGCAAACAAATGTCATTTACCGCATTCCATGTTCAAACTGCTCTAGCGTTTATGTTGGGCATACCGGCCGACGACTTGGGACCCGCATTAACGAACATAAGTTGGCCATCCGCCGACGGGACCCCTTGTCTCTCGTGTTTGCGCACTCCCTTGAGTGTGATCACCGCTTCAACTGGGAGGGGACCGAAGTGATCGCTAGTGCCAACACCAAACAAGCGCGAGAGTTTCTAGAAGCTTGGCACTCTAATAGCAATAGCATCAACCGCCATGTCGACTTGGACGCTCAATACGAAGGCTTACGTTCACGGTTCGCCGGCTTGCGCCCACCTTAAGCCACCAACTGCTAATCCATGTTCGGCCATGTAGAATATCATGGATTCAGCACCTCCCCCACAGAGTGAACCATGTGTGAAACCCCCAACACCACCCCTAACGTCCGCCACCTATCCAACACGTTCTTCACCCCCACACATAAACGCCTGTCTTGTCGATGTAACCTCGATGTCCCCCTGACTCCCCAGTAGGATTATCTCCCTCACACTTTTCATTTTCGTCTGACGACGGGTTGGTGTAACCGACTTGAAAAAAAAAATTCACGAGTATACCTCGATTTTCCGACGAGCCTTCTCCTTTATTATATCGCCTCGGAATGCATACTACCTCCATTATTCATATATATATATATCATTAGGAAGGTGAAGTTCTTTGGGAAACAGCTAAAATTTATTGTGTATTTTTGAGACTTGTTCCCCAGCTCGTCTTCGGAAAACGGGTGTCTAGAGACATTTTTTCCTTCTCAAATCAATTCAACCGGCAAAATGTGCTCCCATGGGTTTACCAATATTTGTTTTCCTTTCAGAAGCATTACTGAAGAAATTAAAGAGCATAGCCCTTCCCACAGTCAATCCAAAACTTTGGCTGCGATACGTAGATGACACTTTCATCATCGTCAAGAAAGATCATTCGAATCTCGTCCATACCAATATGAACTCCATATTTCCAGGTATTACATATACTTTGGAAACAGAGGCCGATGGGCATCTCCCATACCTCGATGTTCTTGTACGTCGTAAAACTGATGGATCACTCCAAATATCAGTTTATCGGAAAGAGGCGTATTTAAAGGTCATCCTAAACTATAAGAGTAACCATCCCATCTCTCACAAATGGAGCACAGTCTACAGCTTTCTGAATCGAGCCAAAACCCACTGTTATATAAAAACGAGTTATCGATCAGAAATGAAATACCCGTACAAACTGTTTTACCAAAATCGGTACCCACATGACTTTATTCGTCAATGCATGAAGCACCAAAGACTCAAAAGAAAATGTGTTTCCATTGCTACGGCCGTTCAGACTCCAAAACCAACCCCATATCAAACTCTCCCATACGTCAAAAATGTATCTGAACATGTCGAAAGACAATTAAAAAAGTAAAAAATACACGTAGCACATTAGCCGGCAACTACCTTACGCACACAGCTTGTGTATCCTAAGGACAGGGTCAGTTACCTCGAAATAAACGCTGTCGTCTACAAAATCCCATGTTCTATTTGTGATTACGTTTATTGTGGCCAAACTAAGAAATCTGTCTCAACCCGTATACATGAGCATAAGTAACGTTAAAGATACGCGACCATCTATCCCAGGTGATATTGCACACACTAGACACCTATAATAAATTCGCATGTGAAAACACTCGCATTGTTGGCACCAGCCAAACAAGGAAACGCCGCGAATTCCTGGAGACGATGCACTCAGACAAAGCATGCGTCAACCGGCATATTGATTTACATGCCACATGCAAAATCGCTAAGGACAGATTCAAACTAAATCAGCCAATCCCGAGATGAAAACCTTAAAAAATCATGTATTTCTTTTCCCAGACGCAGTCTAAAAGTTAATTGTTTTTACACACCTGTTGTTTGAAGACAAGCTGGGGAAACGGAACATACTCGTTCGGCTGTGCCTTGGAGCTCATACTAGAAGCCTCGCAGGCAGTCACAGAGCGAGTAGTAGTAGACGTAGGTGGCGTTCAATGATCGGTTATAACATACCGCCTGTATCATGCGCCGCTCTGTGGATTCTGAAGATGAGAGTCAATAAAAAACAACGGAACGAGTAAGTTATGAAGGAACGATCGGTGATTGTCCGATGCCATTGTATATTCTTGAGCGAAAAAGACAGAGCAACGAACTCGTGGCCTAGAGTTAAGAGGCGTGGACTTCTAAATAACGGCTAAGGAGATCGAACCACATACGTTCCAAATTTCGGGTTTGGGTATAACTGGCTGACGACGGCTAATAAACCAGAAGTAGCCATTTCAGTCTTTCTTGTCTTTATCGCCATTAGCAGACTGTAAATTTCTATGCCTTACGAGAAACTTAATGGGAAGGAAAATGTGTCCTTAAGGAAATTGAACAAACTTTATTCCCCGTAATCGAAGTTAGACGTGCAGAAATTGTGAACAAACCTTAAAGTTTAAACATAACTAAAGGAGTGATATTGCATTGCCCGTGTATATATTTCGCAGATAAATGTAGAAATAATGAAAGCCGATCGAAACTTGATGTCAGCTTACAGCATAAGCCTATTATCAGTAATATAATGCAATTTGTGTCTTTCGGAAATGTTTTAACTTTAACTTTTTATCACCTTTGCTTAACGTCTGACGACGAAAAAGGGGAATCAGCGTTAAAAATTTACGAATTAAAGTTTGTTAAATTTCCCAAGTGACTCAATTTTCTTCGAATTATGTTTACATCAAAAAAATTAACTGTAAATCAAATTTACTTCTCTGGTCCTTTACGCACTTGCTAATTGCGTACTTAGTTTCACAACCTTGGTCTCAAACATATGAAACTTAAAAAAAAAATGATGTGCAAGGCTGCAAATATTTTTAGTTATGACCCGTTTGGACCGCACTCGAATTGACCTAAATAGCGAGAGGAATTTGTCAGTTAATAAATGTTTCAGGTAGGTTTGCGAAGATAGCCATGTGAAGAGTAGCCGTCCATGGATTATAGCAGCTGCAGTCTGAGCTGTGATTCTTCTCCATTTTCGCACGTGTCCGCGAGGTCACGTATGCGGCTTCCAGAATTTCTAGTCTGCACGATTCCTCAATAATATATTGGTTAATCAGCAATACAATCAGTAGTATTCTTAAGCGAACTCTTTTTTGACTAGACTGCTACGACCTATTTTTGATTGTCGAACGTCAGACAAAATAAATGTCAACCTCCACGCCAGTTCTATAAGACAGCAGCCGAAATTTTCCTTTAGGGCTTTCTGAACAGTTAATGAGTAGAAAAAGGAAATCAATCCAGTCATTTTAACATTTAAATCGATTAAATAATGCCATCAATACAGACGTACATTTTTCATAAGAGCAACGGAAAGTGTCGTGAATGGAACTGCGATTAGGAAATGGAAATAGGAACGTAAACCTGCTGACGTCTTTCTTATGCAATTGCAAGTGATTAAATTTAAACGGTCAAAATAGCAATGTAGGAAGAACTTCTGGCGACCCATACATCTCATTTGTTTGTTACGTGTTTAATTCGTTTGAACGGTGTAATATTCGCAAAATACCTTTTGGAAAAACCCTCTTATCGGAATACACTGTAAAAATTTTATGATTGGGAGATGAGCAATGGAAAATTATTTAACTCCAGTAATATTTAAATTTCTCTGTATTTTAAAACGCCAAATATGAAGCAGAGACAAAATTATCTACGAAAAGTATTTGCAAAGGGATATCATTGCATGGCTTTCAACGATTGGCGTAGCATGTGATGTCTGTCTGCATCGCTAGTAATCTACGCCCAACCGTACCCTTTGGCAACATGTGGGTTTATGCAGCATGGGACCAATTGCTTATTTAAATGTATATAAATTACGATTTCTTTCACAAGAATTCTTCTTAAAAAAGCATGTCGGCCAAAGAAGCCGTCTCGACGTCGATGGTTTTGATGTTGTTGTATGCAGGCAGTGCCATAACAAATAATCTGTGTAAGTTATTTTTTAAACAACGTCACATGTGCTTGTTTATATTTGCCTCCTCATTTGAAACTAACGGACCGAGTTTTTCATACCGCACATCAACAATTTCATGTTCAGTGTATTTGCCATAAAGATGCAATGAGTAAAGCGGAAATCGTGCATGTGGGTTGTTGAAAATCTATGAAATTTGAATTTCGAGTCCTTGCTGCGTAACTTTTGGAATGTCGTGTTGTTTGAATAAGCATAACGAATAGTTGGCCTGCTCTTCACGTTGTGTTTAATTAAGCAGAAAACGATTGCTCAAACCAACTGACGTCCTATCGGTTTTAGCTATAATGTGGCTCCGTAGTGATTCATTTTTTTATTGTTATTGGGTAAAATTGAGCAAACGCCTCCGTCTAATCCATTGAACAAGAAAAGACACATCTGCAACAATATCACAATAACAATTGTTTACTGTATGACAGCGAAATAACTTGT